AATATTTCTACTTCTAGGGGATATGGGAAACAATTCAGTTCCAGGGCTCTTTCTCTTTAAAATTAACCAACCCTATTTTTTTTTTTTTAAGTCAAGTGTAGTTAACATACAATGTTATATTAGTTTCAAGTGTACAATATGATTCAACAGTTCTATACATTTGTTCGTCAAGATAACTGTACTCTTTGGGGTGCCTGGGTGGCTCAGTCTGTTAAGCGTCTGACTCTTGATTTCGGCTCAGGTGATAATCTCATGGTTTGTGAGTTCAGGCCCCGCGTTGGGCTCTGCTCTGACAGCGTGGAGCCTGTTGGGATTCTCTCTCTCCCTCTCTCTGCCTCTCCCTTGTTGGTACTCTCTCTCCCTCTCTAAATAAATAAACATTAAAAAAAATTTGTTTAAAGAGAAGTAAATAATGTATGTAAAGTTCAGTGGCTAGCACATAGTAAGAGCTCAGTAACTGATAGTGGTGGGTTTTTTTTTAATTTCTTGAGTGTAGTTGACACAATGTTACATTAGTTTCAGGTGTACCGTATAATAATTGAACTCTATATATGGCTTAGTATTCCTAACAGCTAGAGATTTTCTAACAATTACAAGGTGTTTCTTTAGTAATGGGTCATCATAGGATTTAAAAGAAGCTATCAGCTTCTCTCTAATGATTAACAATAGCTATTCTAAGGTCATACAACAGTTGATGGAAATGCAAAGACTTGAAACCTGGTCTCTATCCTCAGTCCAGTACTCTGCACCATTCTGCTTTTTGCTTGAAAGAATTACATAGAAATTTTTAGAATGTAATTAAAAGTTTTTTAGTCTAATAACCAGCTAAAGTTCTAGAATATTTTAACCATATTCAGGTGAAAATACTTCATAGAGAGCAATCATATTTAAACCGATCTGACCACAACACAATTTTTTTAAAGTTCCATAACAAAGCCAACAGTTGAAATATTTCATTTGTTGTGTCTTCTGGCTTACAAAGACTAGTGCTGCTGAAATCTGAACACTATCCATTAACTACTTTTTTACAGTATTTTGTCTGTCGGGGCTTCATTTTCTAACTGTTCTTTTTACTTGAGTAAACTGTTACGTAACTAGATTTTAAGTACTCCTTAAAATTCCTTTGTGTTAGCAATAAACTGTTTTAAGGAGCTCAGATGGACCTATTATAAATAGCTTCTAAGAGTACGAGGTTCCAGAGATTGGTTACACTTCTGGACTACTGATAAAAAACCCATTGGATATGAAAAAAGAAGTTTCTTAGAGTTGGTGCTCTGTTGCACCACATTTTTGGGTAATAGCAAGGTGATGAAAAATACTATGTTTGTAAGCCAAGCTAATAACAGTACCGCAAAACCTAATTTCTGAAGAATATCACATGACCAGAGTCATTCTATTAATAGTGGATGTTGTAACAAAACAAAAAAAACCTAGCCCCTTTATCCTGTGAAGGGTCCATTTATTTGATCATCACGTATTCATTGTTCATTGCATGTTTTCTCTCAATTTTTAAATTATTTAGGATCTGGAAGACTCGCTTATATAAAAGCTCATTTTTACATTTTCTTTCCTGATTAGTTGCTTTCTAGTCACAAAATCAGATTTTCACTAAAGTGATATGACATAAAGTGACTTAATCCTATTTCATGAATTTTTTGTGTAGTACACGAAAGTAATTCAAACTTCTAGAATGTTGTAGAGTGATGTTGTCAAATAGAAGCTAACAAAGTTTTAACATGTTTTACAAAAATTATTTTTAACAAATTAGTTTACATTTTTTTAACTTTGTAATTTAACTTTATTTTTTTATTTTTTAAAATTTACATCCAGATTAGTATATAGTAGTTTACATTTCTAAGACCAGAATTAATACAAGATTTTTTCACTTTATTTATTTATTAAATTTTAATTCCGGTAGAGTTAACATATAGTCAACAGTTCTATATTAGTACTCATCAAGATAAGTGTACTCTCATCCTTTTCACCTATTTCACCCATCCCCCAACCAACCTCCCTTCTGGTAACCATCTGTTCTCTATATTTAAGAGTCTCTTTTTTGGTTTGTCTCTCTCTCTCTCTCTTTTTTTTTTTTCCTTTGTTCATTTGTTTTCTTCAATTCCACATATGAGTGAAATCATATGGTATTTGTCTTTCTCTCACCGGCTTATTTCATTTAGCATTATACTCTCTAGTTGCATTCATGTTGTTGCAGGTGTGTGTGTGTGTGTGTGTGTGTGTGTGTGACATCTTTACCCATTCATCTTTTGATGAACAACACTTAAGCTGCTTCTATAATTTGGCTATCGTAAATAATGCTGCAATAAACATAGGGGTACACATATTCCTTCAAATTGATGTTTTCACATTCTTAGAGTAAATACCCAGTAGTAGTGTAATTACTGGATCAATGGGTAGTTCTGTTTTCAATTTTTTGAGGAACCTCCATACTGTCTTCCACAGTGGCTGCACCAGTTTGCATTCCCACCAACACTGCACAAGGGTTCCTTTTTCTCCACATCCTCGCCAACGCTTGTCTTTTGAGTTTTTTATTTTAGCCATTCTGACAGGTGTGATGTGATATCTCATTGTAGTTTCTATTTGCATTTCCCTGATGATGAGTGATGTTGAGCATCTTTTCATGTGTCTGTTGGCCATCTGGATGTTTTCTTTGAAGAAATGTCTGTTCAGCATGTCTTCTGCCTATTTTTACTTGGGTTATTGGGGTTTGGGGATGTTGAGATCTGTAAGTTATTCATTTATTTTGGATACTAACACTTTATCAAATATGTCATTTGCAAATATCTTCTCCCATTCAGTAGGTTGTCTTTTATTTTTTGTAGGTTTTTTGCTGTGCAGAAACTCTTTATTTTGATGTAATTCCAATAGTTTATTTTTGCTTTTGTTTCTCTTGCCTCAGGAGACATATTTAGAAAGATGTTGTTACAGCTGATGTCAGAAAAATTACTGCCTGTGCCCTCTTCTGGATTTTTATGGTTTTAGGTCTGACATTTAGGTCCTCTATGCATTTGAGTTTATTTTTGTGTATGGTGTAAGAAAATGGTCCAGTTTCATTCTTGTGCATGTCGCTACACAGTTTTCCCAATACCATTTGTTGAAGAAACTCTTTCTAGTTGCATATTATTGCCTCCTTTGTTAAAGATTAATTGACCTGACCATTAAATTGCAAGTTTATTTCTGGGCTTTCTGCTCTTTTCCATTGATCTATGTGTTTATTTTTGTGTCAGTACCATACTGTTTTTATTACTACAGCTTTATGTTATCACTTGAAGTCTGGGAATTGTGATGCCTTGTTTTGTTTAACTTGTCAGAATTGCTTTGACTATTTGGAGTCTTTTGTGGTTCCATACAAATTTTAAGATTGTTTGTTCTAGTTCTGTGGAGAATGCAGTTGGTGTTTTGATAGAGATTGCACTAAACCTATAGATTACCCTAGATCATATGGTTATTTTAACAATATGTGTTCTTCCAATCTATGAGCATGGGATGTCTTTCCATTGCTTTGTGTCGTTTTCAATTTCTTTCATTAGTATTTTATAGTTTTCAGAGGTTTCTCACCTTTTTGGTTAAGTTTATTCCGAGGCATCTTATTATTTTTCGTACAGTTGTGAAGGTAGTTGTTTTCTTAATGTTCTGCTGCTTCATTATTAGTGTATAGAAATGCAACAGATTTCTGTACATTGACTTTGTATCCTGTGACCTTACTCAATTCTTTTTATCAGTTCTAGTAGTTTTTTTGGTGGAGTCTTTAGGGTTTTCTTTATATAGTGTCATGTCATCTGGTGCAAGAATTTTTAATGTCTTATAATTAGTTTGCTTGGTCTAAGTTGCACCAAGGTAACTTTAGAGATGAATTCTATCAGAGAAGACAATTATTAGAGACAAATATAGTAATCTCTCTGGTTGTTACTGTGTTTTAAAGGTGAGACCAGGTATCTCTGGTCTTTATCAGAGATATAGATCCCTAAGAGGAAAGTGGCCTTTACTTTCTCCCTCCTGGATCTATCTAGAAAAGTGTGATTATCCTAATAATTAAGTGAATCAGTTATTCTTACGGTTTCTGAATAACTTTTTGCTGTTTCTTACTTGGATTTGTAGCACTATGTGCTGAAGTTATTTAGTCTGGCAACCTGAATAATTCTTACATTTCCTCTAGGAAGTTGAATCATTTGAAAAACTTACAGCGGGGGCGCCTGGGTGGCGCAGTCGGTTAAGCGTCCGACTTCAGCCAGGTCACGATCTCGCGGTCCTTGAGTTCGAGCCCCGCGTCAGGCTCTGGGCTGATGGCTCAGAGCCTGGAGCGTGTTTCCGATTCTGTGTCTCCCTCTCTCTCTGCCCCTCCCCCGTTCATGCTCTGTCTCTCTCTGTCCCAAAAATAAATAAACGTTGAAAAAAAAAATTAAAAAAAAAAAATCACATCTATAATGGCAAAATTTCCACAATTAGTGAGTACTGTCACTAGAGCTTCTCTTTTGTCTTATTCACACATTTTTTTTTTTATTTTAGACCAAACTTTGGCCATACTTAATGACCACTACATTTTATAGTGAATGTAATTTATTAACATGAGAGAAACACAGCTGTAAGTTTTTCATTTTTTTTTTAATTTTTTTTTCAACGTTTATTTATTTTTGGGACAGAGAGAGACAGAGCATGAACGGGGGAGGGGCAGAGAGAGAGGGAGACACAGAATCGGAAACACGCTCCAGGCTCTGAGCCATCAGCCCAGAGCCTGACGCGGGGCTCGAACTCACGGACCGCGAGATCGTGACCTGGCTGAAGTCGGACGCTTAACCGACTGCGCCACCCAGGCGCCCCGAGAAGCTACTTTTTAAAGAAAGCTGCCACTGTTAGCCTCTGGGGGAAAAAAAAAAAGTTCTGTTTGACCTCCATAAAATCTGAATTTAATAATGAACTTATCATGAATGTCTTCCTTTGTGTTTATTAATGCAGGTAACAAAGGGAGTCCTTCGACTTGAAGCATGAGTTCAGATGCCAGCCAAGGTGTGGTCACTACTCCTCCTCCCCCCAGCATGCCTCACAAAGAGAGATATTTTGACCGCATCAATGAGAATGACCCAGAATACATTCGGGAGAGGAACATGTCTCCTGATCTACGGCAAGACTTCAACATGATGGAGCAGAGGAAACGAGTTACTCAGATCTTGCAAAGTCCTGTGAGTTGAAATAATCAGAAGGCTATACTTTTTCTTCTCTCTGGAGACCTTGATACAGGGAGGTAGGAGGTACCTTAAAGTACGCTCACAATAGAAGGGTGAAGGCAGAATGACTCCTAGTTGCCCCCAGGCTTTCAGAGGTAAAATGAACACCTCATTTACAGATTTAATTTGCAAAGCTTTAATAACAAACTAGTGTTGTCTTGGTGGTGTAAGTTTTCTTTGTGTGATTTCTGAGTGTAACGCTTCATTAAAGGAGGACAAAAGATGGGGCCGAGCTAGGATCCCCAATTCAGAGTGAGTATCTGTGTAAAAAAGAAAGGCATGACTGAATTGTCAAGAGCCAAGAAACATATTTTCTTTCTTTGTGCACCCTGACACTCAGAGCAGCGGAGGAAGACTTCAAGCTTCTGCGGTGATGTGTGATCCGGCAGCCTAATGTGACATACACCTAATGCAGGCACATAGATGCACACGTACCAAACTAACTACACTAAAAGTGGATTATAAACTGAAGCTGAAAATTTTGTCTGCACAGTAATATTCAGACTTTGTAAATCACATTAAAATGATTTGTTAGTTTTCTTACAAGCCCTTAGTGGAATTGCAACGGTCACATATCAGTGATGGAAAATGAGAGAGAATACCTTGATTTAACATGCAAAATGAATTAGTAACTTTATGCATAATGAAGATCACAGACCCCTTAAGGTAGAGTTCAACAAACATAGACACATGAGGCCCGTGTTAGGGTTAATTAGGCTTCCAACTTAGGTACTAAGATAAGCACTAAGGCATAGAACTGCCTAAGGTGGCCCTGGTAAATCATTTTTGTTGTGCCCTTGTGAATTTAATCACAGAGGTTGAGCCCGAAGCCAAAGGGGAATTCTACTCTAAGTAACTCTGCTACACCAGTGGCCTAGATAAAAGCAAGTACAAGTTATAAAAGCAATGCAAACTTTGAGGAATTTAAGTATAGCTTAACTTTAAACCTATCCTTTAAATAAATCCATAAAGAAATCTTTTCCCAATGGAAAGGAGATTAACCAGAGGATTCATCATGAGGGAGTAAATGTTCAGTGCCTTCTTTAATGCAAATCTAAACTCTGTGTTTATAAATACTTGAAGGGCACATTAATTATTTGGATCAAAATAGATATATTTCCTCTTCTAAAGAAACTCACTCCACTTTTGAGGGCTAACTTATTAACCAAATGATTATAGTAACAGATAGTATAAAGTAACAGAGAATGAGATGAAGTTCAGGTTTTGTTCAGAGTTGTTAAATATTGAGATTTCTCTGGGAAGTGCTCCAAAGAGGACCAGTTTTAACTGTAAAGTTTAAAAGTAAAAAGTACTGAGCTGCATTTCTATGCCAGGGTTTTCGTTTTAATTTCCCCATTAAATAAAGACAGCATAACTTCGAGTAGATCTAATTTTTTTTATACCTAAAAAAATTTCCATTTGTAAATTGGCTGGAATTACCAATTGTATTTATGCCTTAGGGAACTTAATGAAATAATGGGAAAAGCAAGACATATAGATTGTCATTTCTGTATTCACATAGCAAGAATGGTAATTTTCAGCCCAGAGAGGAACAAAGAAGATTTAAAAGAATTGTGGTTTGACCATTTTTTTCCCTAGATCTTTGCTAGTGAATTTAAAATCTCATTTGTGAAAGACTTAGAAAAGACATAAATTTTGTCTTCCTGCCATGTTTTGGGGCAGTGGTTTTCAAATTTCTTTTAATACAACAAACCTTTTAACAAAGAAATGATCCCTGGCGACCTGCATTAGTATCTATTGCAAAATAACAAACTACCCCAAAATTTAGCAACTTAAAACAGCAAGCTTTTATTACCTCATTGTTTCTATGGGTGAGGAATTCAGGAGCAGCTTAGTTAAGTGTTTCTGGCTCAAGGTCTCTCACAAAGTTGCAGTCAAGACATCATCCATGGCTACTGTCACCTGAAGACCTGACTGGCCTGGAGATTTCTGCCCTTGAGATGGGTCACCATCTTTTCCCAATGGAAAAGCCACATGGCTGTTGGCCAAGGACCACAGTTCCTTGCCATGTGGACCTTTACCTGAGACTGTTTGAATGTTCTCCTCCAGAGCAAGTATCTGGGAGAGAACCAAGAGGAGTCTGCAGTGCATTTTATGACCTAATCTCAGGCCTTAAACACCCATCACTTCCACCATATCTATAGTTAGAAGTGAGTCACTAAGTTCAGCTCATACAGGAGCTAAAGAAGGAGAGAGGAATTAAGATCCACCTTTTGAAGGGAGACTTGTCCCCTCTTTGACCACAGTTTAGTTGAAAAGCATTGAAGTCTACCACAATTTATTTACCTTGCTCCCACATGCAAAATGCACTCACTGTCTCCTAACTCTCCTGCAAAAGCTTCAGCTCATTATAATATTTGCTTGAATCCAGAATCTCATCATCTAACTCTGGTCCAGCTACAGATGGTGCCCCTCAGGTGTGATTCCTTAAGTACAGGTCCTCTCAATCTGTACACCTGAGAACTAAAGAACTAAATCTGCCCCCCCCCCCCACACACACACAGCCAATGGTGGGGCAAGCAAAGATAACTGCTACTGAACATTCCTGTTCTAAAAGGGGGGAGTTAGGGGTACAGAGGAATAACTGGTTCATAGCAGGTGTGAAATCCATCTGGGCAAATGTTTAGAAGTTCCCTTAATGAAGACGTAGTCCTACTTTCCAGGGGTGACTCTCGCTAGTGGCTCTGCCTTCTGGGCTTTTGGTTCCACCCTCTGAGTCTTCTTTCCTTTTCCTTGAAATTTAGCCTGTGTTTGTTCTTTTCTCAGCCTTCTTCCTTCTTGTAGAGGTTTTGAGGTTCAAAGACCTCTTCTTTTGGAACTACCTTTGTTCCTTCAGGCCCAAGCTTGCAGTGTTTCTGCAAATATAATTCTCTTAAAACCTGTGTGGGTCTCCTGTGAATATTGGAGTTCACTCTTTTCAACAAAACCCATAACTACTAATGATCAAATCAAAGATATGACTAATTTCTTGTTTGTAAGAAACAAGTTTGTAAGCCTTCTATTTAAAATGCTGAGTTTATTTGGGAAGAAAGGAAAATAGGGAAACTAATAAAAGCAAAGTATAATACTGGTTTTTATTAAGCCCCTTATTAGCACCTATTATGGGCACTATTATGTATCAAATCCTATTTAATCCTCAGAACAACTCAAACAGAAAAGTATTAATATCCCTAGTTTACAGATGAATAAACTGAAAGTTAGAGGTGTTAAATAACTTGCTAAAGTTTTTACAAGTTTAGTTAAATTGTGGGCTCTGAATGTAAACTCCAAAACTCAGACTTAACCAGTAGGTTGTACCACTTAAAGCATTCAATAACAATGAAAAAATTCCACCCATATATTGTTTTATTCATCTTCGAATTCTGTTGTTCAGGTTCATTTAACCCAACATAGGAAGAGTTTCCAATCACAAGACATTTTGGTGTCTGTAAATTTGTTTGACAAACACAGTACCTTATTGCCTTGAGCTGAGATAATAAGAAAAAAGAATGTTTCATCTTGACTCCCAAGTATTGCTTCTAGGAATTTCATGATCTTTCGTAATGTGTGTGTGTGTGTGTGTGTGTGTGTGTGTGTGTGTATACTACTATATATATCTATATGTAGATATATATATAGACATATACACACACATACACATATATATATATTTTTTTTTAGTATATTGTAATGTGTATGTATATTTAAACCTAATAAAGTGTTTGTCTTAGAAATCAAGTGCTGGTTGCTGGTGAGTAAACAAGGTTTAGCTAGAGATCTTGTTAATGCAGCAGGGAGAATCTACAAGTTTTCTTTAACCAGTACACCACTCATATATATGCCTATGGAAACCCTAGATTATCATTAACCCCCTTATCTCAGAATGAGGTGTCTAAGGCAAACTGTTGGAATTAAGTGATGTTTCATCAAAGTTAAAGATGCATATAAGTTGAAAAATTAACAGTACATTGTGCATAGTAGATATTTAGTAAAATTCTATATACATCAATGGACGGATACATGAATAGCTGGGTGGGCTTTGAGTCATTAAACTCTTGAAGGTTGTCCATCAAGCTCCTGTTGAACTTAACAGCTTAATGTGGAAAACAGTTGGTGGGTTTCAGAAAAAGAATGAATGTTCTCAAACCTCACCACTATGGAAAGCTGTTTAATCTGGTTGACAGAAATGTGCAATGCTACTCTGAAAGATAGAACAACAGGAACTTATAGGTAGTGATAGCTCAGGCATGTGACACACTAACATTTCTTAATTACAGGGCAATATGTAATGCTACAAGCTACTTCAAATATAGGAGAAACTTCAAAGCCATATATATTTCAGAATATCACTATAAGGCCTAAAATGTTAACAGCGCACCTAGTTGGTCAGAATCACCGTCATTTATCTGGTCACGTTAGAAGCTTAAGATAAAGGTATTCTTTATTAACTTTGTTTGCATTTTTATTACATACTAGCTTCAAGAAAAGAGAGTATTCTAACCTTTAGCTTCATATTAATTAAGACTTAGGTAGAGGATAAAGACCATCCAGAAGAAAATTTGGTTTATTTCTTTTTTCTCCTTTCAACAGGACCAGTGGTAATCTATTTCCAAATGAATACATTTCTTAATGAAGAAATTCTAAGTAAGTTTGTTATGCTCCTAATCCCACTTTGGGAGAGATCTAATAACATAATTGTAGAGTGCCTTGGGAGCAGTAAGTCTGTAATCTTTTTTTTTTTTCTTTTTTCTCCAATTTTTCTCTCTAGTAATTATTATGAGGTAGAACATCCAGCTGTGAATATTTAAAATCAATCTCTGGTATTTATCAGTATTCCATTACATAATGTCCATAAGTTAAACATTACTTATAAATCAACCTATGTAATTTTCTTTTTCTTTTTGTTTTTGTTTTTTTTTTTTCCCCTAGCCTTAACTGAAATAATTCAATCAGGT